GGTGTTGCAAAGCAAGGATGTAACTTTGAAGACTAAGGTGTGCTTGACTCAAGCCATGCTATTTTCAATGACCTTGGACATGGAATAAAGAAGACTGAACAAGAACTGACGCATTTCAATTCTGGTGCCGGCGAAGAATATTGAAAATACCATGGACTGCCAAAAAGACATACAAATGTGTCCTGAAGAAGCAGAATGCTCCTTCGAGGCAATAAGGACGGCAAGATTTCATCTCACGTACTGTGGCTACGTTGTCAGGAGAGCAGGAGAGCGCAGTCCTTGGAGAAGGATATCATTGGTAAAAGAAAGGGGTGAAAAAGAGGAAGGTTCTCAATAAGGTGGCTGCAACCATGTGTCCAAACATAGGAATTGGGGGATGGCAACGTTTGACTGTTTTTCACAGGGCAGCTATGGGTTGGACCTGAGTGATGGCTCGTCTGTCCACCTGTGAAAACATGCTATGTCAGAAGGGTAGCTCTATGAGTCATTAATAACTGAAGTGCACCGAATGAGCATTGGTGCTAGAGTATTTGGGGAAATCTTCTAGACATGGTCTCATATTTATATGGCTCTCCTATTTCCGTACCTCCTAGCATTGCTTCTCTCCTGTGCTGGCCAGGCATTTCAAATCACTTCTTACATCTTTTACTCTGCTAGCCTTCCTTTTTGAAAGAATCGACCAGACCCAATAGCTATAATTTATATTCATAGCGTCTCTGATAGTCAAAGTTGCTTTACAAATATTATTTCAATGTCCATAATAATGCTGGGGGGGATGAGGAAACTGTGACAGAGGGTGGCTGCCCGAAATGCGTGAAGTTGTTCAGATTTCGTGTGAAAAGAGGAGACCCAGGGGATTCACTCTACCCCAGTGCTCCTGCATAAGTGTGTGGACTCTGCTCAGACTTGAGTTGGAAATGCTCACCAGCTGTGTGATTTTTAAACATGTTAGTTAAACGCTCTCCATTTTAGCTTCCTTATTGCTCAGAGGATAACAATACCTAATTCTTATGGCAGCTTTGAGTATTAAAAAATGATGTATGTAAAGTAAAATACCTCGTATTCTCTCACCTAAAGTTAGTTCCTTTAAGTCTACCAATGGTCTCTGAAGCTATTTTAGATTTCAGTGGTGAACCTTTAAGAGGGGTGAAGTACATTTAACATGATTTAGTGACCAAGTCAACTTGACCAGGGATTTTTCAATCATCTACTATATCCCCAGAGCAGTGCTAAGTAATTCAAGCACCTACACGAGGTAGCAGCAGCCAAAGGATTTTGGCAGAGGCGCGAACAAGACTTGATGATTTCCTAGAAAATAGAGAGTTAAAAAAGAAAGCAAAAATTGCAAAAGGGGCAAGTCTGCCAAGTTTAACAGCATTCCAGGGAAATTCTTCAAAATAATCTCACATGCAAGTACAGTAACCTTAAAGTCACCGCATACACACTTTATGGGTTCACTGCCCTTAAATGGCAAACTCCAACTTTTAATTTTTAAAAGACAATAATATTGCATCCTATCTCCATTATTAAATGGATGGAGGGATGGTGCATGAAGGAATCAATCTCATGGTGAACCTGGGATGAGTGGTTTAGAAAC